AACCAACCTAAACCAACCTACACCAACCTACACCAACCTACACCAACCTTTCACCAACCTTTCACCAACCTACACCAACCTCACAACAACCTTTCACCAACCTTTCACCAACCTCAACCAACCTAAACCAACCTAAACCAACCTACACCAACCTTTCACCAACCTACACCAACCTTTAACCAACCTAAACCAACCTAAACCAACCTAAACCAACCTTAAACAACCTTTCACCAACCTACACCAACCTTTCACCAACCTCTCACTAACCTTTCACCAACCTTTCACCAACCATTCAGCAACTTTCAACTATATTACGTATGCAAAGCTGATGGCATCACAGAGCTAAAAAAAAAACTGGGTATTTGCGTGAAATACTAAAAATAAATCATCATTACTCAATGAATTTTGACTTTCTTGCGTAAATTAAAAAAACAAATGATAAACCACTGGGCAAAAGTAACCATACACTTGAACATTTGATTTTATAAAAGGCATCATAACGTTACAAGGCTGTAAACAGTCGCCGAAACACTACAAACGTAAGTTTAAAAACTGACACCTGTGTCAAACACATCACTATGGAATAACCTTTCCGTGTTAGTTTCATTTTAGCCACCATAACACATGGGTGTGGTACTTTCTCTTGCCCGGCAGTGTATATCAGTACTCGGCGTAACTATCCAGTGTATGCTCTCAACTTGCACACCTATACTTCTGACTCGTGACGATTCGGAGTAGAAAAGGTCTACAGCAACCCATGCTTGCCGTAAAAAGGCGACTATGCTTGTTGTAAGAGGCGACTAACGGGATCGGGTGGTCAGGCTCGCTGGCTTGGTTGATGCATGTCATCGATCCCAATTGCGTGGATCCGGGTGTGAATATCGGTCCCCAGCAACCTATGTTTGTCTTTCCTTGGGGATTCCGGGTGTGAATATAGGTCCCCAGCAACCTATGTTTGTCTTTCCTTGGTGATTCCGGGTGTGAATATAGGTCCCCAGCAACCTATGTTTGTCTTTCCTTGGGGGTTCCGGATGTGAATATAGGTCCCCAGCAACCTATGTTTATCTTTCCGTGGGGATTCTGGGTAAGAATATGGGTCTCCAGCAACCTATGTTTGTCTTTCCGTGGGGATTCTGGGTAAGAATAAGGGTCTCCAGCACCCTATGTTTGTCGTAAGAGCCGAATAATATGGATCGGGTGGTCAGGCTCTTTGACTTGATTGATTTGCATGTCATCGTATCCCAGTTCCTTGGATAGAAAGGGTGACAAACGGGATCGAGTGGTCAGGCTCGGGAGCTCGGTTGATGCATGTCATCTCAATTTCGGAGATGCTCATGATGTCATTCACTGGATTGTCTGGTCCGGATTGGAGTATTTACAAACCGCTGCCATATAGCTGGAATATTGCTGAGTGTAGCGTAAATCAACAAACAAGCAAACAACAAACAACGTCATGCTTGCGTGTAAACAGACTAACATGGGTATCGTGTTGTCAACCACTGCTTCGCCTGGCCAGACTAGATTATTTCCAGGTGGTTCTGGTATAGATGAAATATTGCTGACTGCGGCGTAAAACACCACCAAACGAAACAACTTCTCTTGGTACTTTACAGGGACATTATAATGGCCCAACTCAATTGTTGGCAAAGTAGTAATTAAGTGTAAGAACATGCAGTGTACTTGCCTGTTCCTGATAATTAAGAGTGGATGATGAAGTTGGGTTTAACGACGGCCAGTATTTCAGTAACAGCAAGACGTGCCATTTGAGCGAGGGAAGACAGAAATTACACAGGTCATGGCGCCCATCGTCTTGATTAAACCTTGTGATCATGGAAAGGCTGGGAGTACATGTACCTATGATGAAAACATTTAGAAAAACAAATAATTGCTGTGATTTTTGCCTCGTGAGGCTTGCGAGGCGACAGCTAGAAACGACAATTCGTCGATTCCGCCCAGCTCACGCCAGGCCTGAGAGGTGTATTGTATGAGCGCTTCCCTGAACTTGAGTTGAGCGGGTTTACTGTCAGAGGATACATTAGTGCCTTTGACGTCAGACAGTAATTTACTCAGACGCAAAAGTAACTGTGTCCATGTTCTTACTCTTTGTTTGTTTAACGCCGCACTCAGCAATATTCAAGCTTTATGAAGGCAGTCTGTAAATAATCGAGTCTGGACCAGACAAGCCAGTGATTGACATCATGAGCATCGATCCACGCAATTGGTATACGATGACATGCATCAACAAAGGCAGCGAGTCTGAGCACCCGATCAGTGACCGTTAGTCACCTCTTACGACAAGCATGGTCGCCTTTTACGGCAAGCAAAGGTTGCTGAAGACCTATTCTACCCTTGATCTTCATAGATGCCATGTCCTTATTAATAATGCTGTGATAGACCCTAGCTTGATAACGGTATAAAGGTCTACATCGAAACGTCGATATATTCAATAAATCAGAAGTCATTATCCATAAACGTGTATGTTTTGTTATGTGCTCTTAGTATCATATCAAAACTGTTTTAGAGATTCTTTACTTAATTTGTTTTCTTACACTTTTAAACAAAATGTATCTTCGGGTGAAGGTATCACAGTTACTATTTCAGTTCTGGATAAAATGAACAAGATCCAGCCGCTACGTCTCAACACGCGCTGCTCCGATGTAATTGATAGAAGCGCCCGTAAACTGTCTTCTACGCATAACAAGGGAGATAAGTATGACTGCTGCGACCCGCTCAGTTCGACTCGGTCATAGCTGGGACCTCACCTGGTCTATTTCACAGTCCCTGAACCATGTCATTTATGATTTCACCATCCCTTACGGTAATGCTACAGTCTAAATGAAGCAAGTCTAGATTTTCCACAGGTTCAAGTTCTGAATGTCCCATATCACTGGGGCTCCTTTTCAATTTAAATGTAGTTACTTGTTTCTAAACGGCAGTCCAGGCCTCGATCAACCCTGGCAGGATTCCATATTGGAACTATGTTGTCATTCCGCCTGCATTTGTCTTATTCTCTTACGGGACCAACCTTTTGTTATTCTACAGTATAGGGGAGGTGGGAGCTAGCTCATTATGTTTACTCTACAAACCGAAGAGATTCCGGCTAAGAATAGGTCCACAGCTACCTTTACTTGTCGTAAGAGGCTTCCAATTGGATCTGGTGGTCCGACTCAGTGACATGATGGATGCTCATGATATCCATCACTTTCTGGACCATGCTCGATTATTTACAGAGCGCCGTCATCTCTCTCTCTCTCTCTCTCTCTCTCTCTCTCTCTCTCTCTCTCTCTCTCTCTCTCTCTCTCTCTCTCTCTCTCTCCGTGTTTCCTTTATCAGTTAAAGTCTTTTAATCTATGTGGAACTCTCTGTCTGCGCCTATGAGTGCCTATCTATCAGGGCGTTTCTTAGTCGTCGTTATCACAGCCAAGCTACAAGGGCACAAACTTCATGACCTACACGTATATATCTTCTAGCGAGTTCCAAGACTGGGTGAACATAATTTTCTGAAACAAATGAAACGCTTTGGGAGGTCTCAAGAATAGGAATAAGAATCGTGGTGCTTTGCCCTGAGTGAGTGAGTGAGTGAGTGAGTGAGTGAGTGTAAAGTCACGTCGGCAATATTTCAGCCAATATTATGTTTTGTTACCTGTATATGTAACCGATACCATCGTTACTAAACTCGATGGAACGCGGATACAAAAAAAGGTCTAAATCCCCGCACCCATCCTCGCCTGGTCGCTCTGGCTTGATGCTATCGGTGCTATCAGCGAGCCTCATCTAGCCTACCACCTTCCTCATCTACACAAGCCCCGTAAACCTCTTCTGTTGCCTCGTTCAGCTGCTTGATGAGCATAGCTAAGGGCTGTTGGGTACATAACAGTTTAGAAGAACAAAACCACTGAACATTTACTGCAAACCGTAGTTTATGGCAAACTCTTCATTGAGAGCCTGTTTGTGAGGGTTCCGGTACGTTCGTAATTATACCTGACAAAAATGTTGAACTCAGTCGGTTCGTGGAGTTTAACAAGTGAGCCAGTGATTATTGTGAACTAAAATTACGAGTTTGACGCGGCCTCATCCCAACGTTATGATAATATTTACATTTCAGTTGCAGCAACCTAATACAAAAGCGACAATCCTCAGAATTAATTCTCTTGGCATGACCCGGAGAACGTAACTTGTTTATTGGCATTACGCTGCATGTTTTGCTAATGTTTTCTCATTATTATTTTATTGGTGCACAGCATGTAGTGTTTAAGTGGCCCCTGAGAGAGCTCGTTATTATACCACGAACATCCGAGTGCATGGTATATTCAGGGACATTCTGTATTCTGACAATCCCGACATGTCACAAGGTGGCGGTTAGTCATCAATTAATTGGCGAGTCACGTCTTGTAAACAACTTTCTGCAGAGCAAGGTTTTGGCAAAATCGATACTTATAACGATCTGATCAAGAGTTAAGGATGGCTGCGTGACTTAGCCCTATTAAATAGTTCAGACATGTCGGTCGCGTGCATGTTTGCTTGTTTGCGTTTTTTAACACCGAACCCGGCAATATTCCAGCTATATGACGGCGCTCTGTAAATAATCGAGTATAATCCAGACAATCCAGTGATGGATATCATGAGCATCGATCCACGCACTTGGGATACGAGGGAGAGAAAGAGGGAGAAAAAGAGAGAGAGAGCGCTTAAATTTGATATTTTGATAAACATATGTGTTTGACTTTTGAATGGAGAGAGTTAATACCAAAGAATTTAAAATATCATCGGTAATGTCAAGCAATCAAAGGAAACTGAAATATTATCATTGTTATTATGTTAAGAGTGCAGCGAGAGACATCCATCGTACAATGACCCATCTTGAACTGCTGACTGACGTCGTTTGTAAACATGTTTACCTTCTCCCACGACAGCAGGGGATTTCCCACCGCACGTCCACCTCGACCTGCTCGATCGCTGTATTTACAGTGCTGTTGTCGCGGACCGAACGAGCACAATTTCCGACCCACGGATCGAAGGGATGCATAAACACATTATTTGTGTAATGTTCAACAGATATGGTCATCTGCATTGACCCGTATTAAATCCCTGATAAGATTTATGGAAATCACGTGACACCCTTCAAGCTCACTCAAGCAGGAGAATCAATACGAGTCACGTGACCAGCCAGCGGCTCTCGGCTGGGTCATGAAAACACTGGCAGTCGAGGAAACAACACTTGGAGAGGAGGTGCTGGTGTGAGTCAGCTGATGTTGTGAATCTAGTCAACAGTCATAGGGATACACCACTCCCTGTGTCCGTCCGTCGGTCAGTCTGTGCGGTCAATGTGCGGTGAGTGGCCACTTTGTTTAGCATTGCCATACCCTTCTGCCTTGCTGTTTGCATATGGTCATAGTAAAGGAACGTGTATGTGAAATGTACACTTTCTTACATGTCAGTTTGTATACGTTGTATAATGCATGCGATTGCTACTATTCATTAAAGTCTACAGCTGTACAAATTGAGTCGTTTAACCATGGTTACCAGAACCAATATGGGTGAGGTGAGGTGAAATGGGGTTTAACGTCCCGTCCAAGATTATTGCACCTATATAGCGACGTGCATGCACGTGTATGTATGTGTGTGGCTGCTTGTACTAGTCCGGACTGATGCCGATTTATAGTGGTAGCTCACTGAGATACAATGCCGCAGTTTAACATGAATACCCCACTCAGACACAGTATACTGACTCCGAGCCGACCAGTCCTTGTTTTAGACCCTTTAATGCCGAGCGCCAGACAGGGTAACAACAAGTACCATCTTTTAACGTCTTTTGGTATGACCCCGGACCTTCCGCTCTCCGGGCGGACGCTCTACCACTAGACCACGGAGGCGGTCAGAACCAATATGGGCATTGTGCTAGTGTTTATGATGTGGTGTTTGTTTACCCTGTGCATATGCCATATGCCATTATATCATGTTCTCATCGCTACACCAAAATGCATACTCTATTGTTGTACCAGGTCCAAAATGGGCGTTTTTATACAATAGGATATTCTTGATTCTTGATTGATTAGTTAAAGAATGGAAAGACAAGTGAAAAGTGTCAACAAAGTTCAGGATACTCAAGATATACTCAAGACATCTTTGTCCGACCTAAACGAGACCCAACAGAGTTCTAACAGAGATCTAACAGAGAATCAACAGAGGAGACCTAACACATTCCAGACACACATGACATATATTTAACAGAGACCCAACACAAGACACATTCCAGACAAATATGACATATATTTAACAGAGACCCAACAGGGGAGACCTAACACATTCCAGACAAACATGACATATATTTAACAGAGACCCAACAGAGGAGACCTAACACATTCCAGACAAATATGATATATATTTAACAGAGACCCAACAGAGGAGACCTAACACATTCCAGACAAACATGACATATATTTAACAGAGACCCAACAGAGGAGACCTAACACATTCCAGACAAACATGACATATATTTAACAGAGACCCAACAGAGGAGACCTAACACATTCCAGACAAACATGACATATATTTAACAGAGACCCAACAGAGGAGACCTAACACATTCCAGACAAATATGACATATATTTAACAGAGACCCAACAGAGGAGACCTAACACATTCCAGACAAACATGACATATATTTAACAGAGACCCAACAGAGGAGACCTAACACATTCCAGACAAACATGACATATATTTAACAGAGACCCAACAGAGGAGACCTAACACATTCCAGACAAATATGACATATATTTAACAGAGACCCAACAGGGGAGACCTAACACATTCCAGACAAATATGACATAGATTTAACAGAGACCCAACGGAGGAGACCTAAGACATTCCAGACACACAGGACATATATTTAACAGAGACCCAACAGAGGACACATTCCAGACAAGCATGACATATATCTAACAGTGACCCAACAGAGGAGACCTACCAGAGACCCACCATAGGCCTAGCACAAATCTTGAATATATTCCTGACACTTTTATATGGAAACGGTTATTTATGTCCTTTGGTTTCATATGATTCCCTGCAACTTAACGCCAATACTCAGTTTCCGACACTTCGCCCAACACTTCATGTTAAGTACTGACTAGCGTAGCGCTCGCCTATTCAGTATGCAACGGTTGTTTTAGTTGCCAGGCTATAGGGCCCCTACGGAAATCGCACCAAAACTTAACCCAAGTAGAGCTTCCATAACAGACGGGTCAGCATACTACAGGTTCAGTGTTGCCATCTGAAAGAGCAATTACCACTGACATTTCAACATGTGCAAAACATTCAAACTTGTTGAAATACGTCTTCGTATTTTTATATGTTATAGTATTGTATGAGTAATATTTTGAAGCGAGTGATAGTTGATTTTTGTGATCGTATCAACTGCTAAACGCTTTAAACCAGTCACAAAAGGTTTTTTTTGTCTAATCGTATACCAGTACAGTTCTCTTCATGTATTGGACTATTGTTTGAAAGCAATGTTTACGCGATGATCTTTTTGGATGAAACGTAAACACATGATTATATTATAATATCAATGCGTCGTTTGAATAATTTGAAATTGTTTGTGTCGAAAGAAATCATTGTAACTACAAGATAGCAAACTGCATTCCTAAAAAGCAGGCTACAATACCTGACTTAATACACCCTACTGTGCCTGTTGGTCTGTCACTGACTTTTCCTTGACGTCATGGTCCGCGTTGTGGCTTCTCAATCACCCAACCGATTGTCAGGGTGGGCGCTCTGGGACTCAATTAATAGTATTTATCTTGATATGTAGCTACATTAGTTTGTAACAGTAACGTGTAATCGTCATCGTTGAAGTGGTTGATGTCGGGTGACTAACAAACAATGTCAAGGACACGGGTAATGGCTGACAACCCAACGGTTTCGACTTTCATTACTCATATTGGATCAGATCCGGGGTGAATAGGTCTTCAGCAACCCAGTCTTGCCGTAAGAGGCGACTATGCTTGTCGTAAGAGGCGAATAAGGTGATCGGGTGGTCAGGCTCGCTGACTTGGTTGATGCATGTCATCGATCCCAATTGTGAGGATCGATGCTCATGATATTAATCACTGGATTGTCTTGTCCAGACTCGATTATTTACAGACCGCCGTCATATAGCTGGACATTTGCTGAGTGCAGCGTTAAACAACAAACAAACAAACAAATCATATTGGATCAAACAAAAACTCGTCATAATATCATAAAGTCGACTGACGTGGAATCAAATTTATGATTCGTAATTTGTATTTACTTTCAATTGATTTTGTGGTTTTGCTTGATATTAATAACTTTATGTTGTGTACATTTTATGTATCGTCGCCAAGCGATAACGAAAGAAGATAAACTTTCGAAACTGCTAAGGTAGGCTAATTGTAGAATTTACTTACTTTTATTTGGAACCGAGCAACAAACAATGATTTCATTATACACAATCAATTTAAAATATAGCATGTCAAGTAAGTCAAGATTTTTGTGTGAAAATTCGAGTGGAATTAGAGACCAGATTTTAATCTTTCTTGGACCATGCACATGTTCTTCAGCGTCATGGTGGAATGCACATTGTGTACTTTCATTCAAACCTCCTAATGCATGAATTCAACCATCAGTATCGTCATGCATCTAAGTATTATTCACCCGGTTCTCGTGTATGCCCCCATTGAAAGAGCATATGAATAAGGTCAAATGACGCTGATTGAAATTCAGGATTTTTTAAATGTATATATGTCTAACGTTTACCACGCATCACACACCAGACGGAATGGATACCCTTTTCATTGATAATATGTATTTGTTTCAATAGAACTAAAGGAAGATGACAAACTTAAAAAAAGGTTATATAAGTGTCTGTAAGAATATTAACTGGACTGAGTAAACGAATAGTTTCAAAAGTTGGGTATTCATGTACATAAGGTTAAAACAGTAAAGAAAAAAACAGTCACTGTTGTTTTTAACTTTAACTTTAACATCTGCCACATACATGAATTTCACTGATGTCAAAGTTCAATGAGAGTTGATCACTTTAACTGTCAATGACATTCAATGTCAACGGGACATATTTTCTGCCAAGTTCATGTATTTGCAGATTGTACACGTGTTCTGTTGATGTTACTCCTCTAATAGGACGATGACAATATGTACGATTCTAAATACTGACGTATAGTCTTCCGCGTGCCATTTATTGACTGATGTCTCGGTTGCCAAGACACCTGATAATGTTCCACTGTCATTGTGGCCTCGGAGATGGCGGGGAAACAATAGGACTTCGACTCCATGTGATGATGCATTGAATTTCGTAATCTTTGGCTGATGTATTGAATTTCGTAATCTTGGTGATGATGTATTGAATTTCGTAACGTAAGACCTGTCATAACCACACGTCTCTCGTGACACCAAGATTAGTAGCCGACAGCGTATGCACTTCAACACGTCATCCCGACAGGGTTACTAAGGACGGATCATTTGATATAAGTGTGTATGTGCGTGCGTGCGTGATGGGTTTTTTAAATTAAAACTATCAGCCTGAATATGTTTTTTAAGAAGAAAACATGGAACAATGTAGTTTTTGTGGCAGACAATTTCTTCTTCTATTTTCAATTGTCTGAAGCATAACTATTTTTTTCAAGAACTTTCGGGGACAATGTATATTTTTTTATAAAATCCCAGGCCCCATCCAACTATCAAATGGTCGGCCCCTAAGGTTACACAGTCAAGCACAATAGTTGCACACTATCACTGATGGTAATCACGGCACTCAAGTAGATTAGGTGTATATTTATGATTTAGCCAAGGTAGACAACTTCTTTTATACTGTAAAAAGCGACGTTTCTTGCAAGACTGTCTTGCTTGACAACGGCATAACGGTATAAGGATCTATACCGAAACGTCGCTTTTTACAGTATGAAAGAAGTTGTTATCCATAAATTGTGTCTATCTTGTCATCCATCAACTTCTGAGTAATGCCTATCAAAAATTCTTATATGTAGTTGTATAACTGGTGGTCATTGAGGTTAAGTTTATAATGTCTTGATTAAATCCCAGCAATCTGTAAGTTATTGAGAAGAATCTTTACTCTTATGTATGCGATGATATTGCCATAAACAAAATGCCCAAACCCTACCTCGCTTCATTTAAAAATGTTTCTCTGCGAATAATATTCAAACCATTGTGACTAATTATGGTCTTGTACTAATCTTTTCGATATCTTATTTCGTGCATTTTTCATTTATTACCATTTTGTGTCTGAACTGACATAAATGAATAATTCGATATCATGGTATTCGCCTTATTATACA